AATTAATTTAATGCTGTGATTATGCTCGGAAATTGTAATTTACTTTCTTAAAACTGAAAATCTACTGTTTAGTTCTACAATAACGAACAAATGTTTTTTAAAACTTGTTAGAAATATTGTTATTTTTTGACATGGTTGCTACTTCAAGATTCAGTTTTGAAATGGCATCAACAAAAGGTTTCGAAATTATTTTTTTATCTTTGACATTAAGAAAAGAAAAGGCAGAAGAAGACAGAAGTTGAGATGAGATCAAGACAGATATGTAACCGAGAAAAGGGACAAAAGACTATGAATGGGATTTTCATAATACCCTTACAAAAATTATACAGACAAAGCCTGTTTACAAAAATAGTAATATTAGAGCCATAAGTTTAATATCGCCATATATTGCTTTCTGACAGCATCCTGCTTATCCTCGTTAAGTGTTCTGTCATTTAATTTGGTCTCCTTTATTGTTTCTAAAACTGTCATCTCTGTTGTTCTTATTTTATGTTTTGTTTTTGATATTGTTCTGAAGCTATTTTCTTGTGACATTTTAAATTAATTACTATTTAACTGGGAATAAGCCACAATTAAAGGTTAAGGTACGTTTATTGATGTTTCAATTTCCACTTCGGAAATCGTTCTCAAAACATTAGTAAATTAAACAAATTTTGTTTTTTTGTTACTTAGTGAAAAATTCGTCTGATAATTTAATTTTTGCCTTGAAGTCAGTATGGGGCGGACGCAGGTCTTACTCTCTGTGATCATATATTGATTTCTCCTATTATGTCCTGTAAATACCCTGATATTTTTGGAGCCTTGTTGATCTGATTTTACATTTCATTAGTCATAATTTTGCTATACGACGTCTGTACTCCCAAAATAATTTAAATGCATTATCTGATTATTCATTTTATCGTATTCATTTTTTACCAAATTACATCGTTTGGTATATCTTTGGATTTTATCATAGATTGCGTACTCAGTCTTTGTCTCAGGAAGGGGAAGTAGACTTGTAGAGGAAGGAAGCGTTCTAGGTCGTCTTCATTCTCATCGATCAGAATAATATTATTTGCAAACTATTCATCAGCAGCGCTAGTTCATCTTAAACCCTGCAGTAACTTTGTCCATACTTTTAATAATTTCGTTTAACATTATGACATTAAAAAAACATGAGCTTAAGCTATTTTCTTGCCGTATAATGGATGCGACTTTAAGTTCTCTTATTAGATCTCATTATGTTCCTGATTCTTGCTTTCTTATTTTTTTCGATTTTGGAGCTCCATATTTAAGCTTTTAATTTCGAATATTATCTATACTTATGGCTGTTGTGTGCCAATGTAACAAAATATAGAAGTGTGAGCTCGCAATACAAAATGTATAAGTTAATGCAACTTGGCTAGTATAGTATGTCAAAAAATGCCCAATTAACACTGAAAGGTTTTGGCCAATTTACATGCCCTAAAAGATAGTTAAGTACGAATGAATGTGAAGAGTAGATAAAAACAAGTAAAAGTAGGCATCAACGTTTACTTCCCAATGTACCTTACACTGCTGCAAGAGTTGTTAAGGTAATTTCTAAAATTGTGAAAAATGAGGTAGTATGTAATAAAGCATGTACTCTATTCAACCCAATTAAAGTCCTAATTGTTTAGGAGTAGATACACATATACAGTTTCATCATCATCATATAACGGGGGTCCTACGGCGATTGCCGCTTCCCGCATTTCAGCCTTTATCTTTTCCTATCTCTCCAATCTCCTTCTTCTAAGCTTTAGATTGCATTGTTTTTGTAATTTCCATTCTTCAGGAATTTGGTGATCTTCCCCTTTTCCTTCTTTCTGGCGGAACATACATTAAGGCTTTCTTTGGCCACCGCTCCTCGTCCATTCTCATCACGTGACCATACCATTGTAATTGCCTTCCTTGTATTCTATCTGAAAGAGTATCTCTAATTCCTGCACGGTTTCGTATTTCCTCATTCCTAGTTCTTTCCATTCTCGATACTCGACATGACTTTCTAAGATAATCCATTTCCACAACGTCTACTTTATCTCGTTCATTCTTTGTCATCGTCCAACATTCGGCACCATATGTGGTAATCGGTTCTACAATTGCTCTGTATACACGATCTTTATTTTATTAGACCACAGTAATGAATTCAGTATTCGGATACATTTTTTCCCTTGGGTTATTCGGTTTTGTACATATATCTTAACTCTGCCATCTGCTGATATGATGCTTCCTAGATATTTATACTGGTTGTAACCTTTTATGACTGCGTTTTCAAGCCTCAGATCTGTGGTATTTCCTCAAATTTTTAAATATTCTGTTTTGCTTATGTTTACAGTAAGCCCCCATTTGGCACATTTCTCAAATAATTTTCGATTCATATAATTTATATCTTCCTCGTCGGTTGCAACCTCCACCTGATCATCTACAAATAACAATGTATACAGAGTTTCTTGTCCCACTTCGATGCCCTTAAATCTACATTTATAGTAAATTTAAACTAATTATATAATCTATACATATACAGTTTAACTACTTATAATTTGATATCTCTATGTACCAAATAATATGTTATCCTCCCACCAATTATGTACAGTCTAAAACTAAATTTATATACAATGAAATCACTAAATCTTCAACCCACGCTTTACCACTCCCAAATTCTCCTACTGGTCATAGTTTTCCTCCAAGCCACTATATGTCCTCAACCATAGCGATTACTATCAACCACATAACTTTATTTCCGATCTACTAACTTCAACTTCTTCTCCAACATTTATTTGCTCTCCTTCACCAACACGATATTATCATCAAACAGCGTTGATAAAAGAGCCTTCTACTTTCTCTGTCAGTACATCCGTAGAAGATTAAACAGGTAGAGACTAAGTAAAGAACTTTGCAAACCAACTGTCACTAAAAAAATACATATCCTTCACGAATTTTACTTACTTTTCGGGAACCCATTTCTCTCCTATACATCTCCATAGCTTTTCTAGCCAAGCATCTACGGCCTTCTACATGCAGAATACATAAAGAATTATATGAAATTTTAATGGACTCAAAAGTACCAAGGGTGCATATAATAAAGTTACAACCTACGAGTATAAAGATGTCTTAAGTTGAAGACATCTTACACCTGGTAAGAAACATACCAATTAATATTATACAAACCATCGAAAACATCTACCTCTATAATCGAATACAGGCAAAGATAAATGGAAAACTAACACAGTGTATACCAGTACAAAGCGGAGTTAGACAGGGTGACTCGTTAAGCCCACTTCTGTTTAATATAATAATGGACGAAATAATACAAGTAGTACGTAAAGGTCATGGCTACAGAATGAAGAACAAAGAAATCCACATATTATATTATGCAGAAAGAATTGGATGAAGGTTAAGACAGAAAACAGTGGAGGCATTTTGTCGAGTCGGCTAAAACCCACGAAGTAAGTAAGTAAGACGACGCCGCATTAATCGCCGAGACAGAAGACGAGCTCCAAAGATTAACACATATCTTCAATACAACAGCTACGAAATACAATATGATAATATCAGCAGAAAAAACTAAATATATGACAACATCTAAATACCCACTACGGTGTAAAATCGAAATTAATGGAAAATAATAAAGCAGGAAGCAAGGTTTAGATATCTGGGAATAGATATAACTAGTTACGGAGATGTTAAAGAAAAAGTACAACAAAGCTTAAAAGCAAGTAAAGCGGCGGGTTTTCTTAATGATACAATCTAAAAGAACAAACACTTAAGACAAGAAACAAAAACAAGAAACTATAAAGCAGCAATTAGACCTTTATTAACATACACGGCGGAGACAAGCCCTGACACATCTAAAACGAAACACTGCTAGAAACAACAGAGATGAAAATACTCCGACGAATATTAAGGAGAAATCTGTTGAATAGGGAGAGAAGCGCATAAACATATAGAATACATAAATGGATGGGTGACAAAACGAAAACAGGAGTGAAACAAACACATCAGTAGAATGACAGAGGATAGAATAGTACGAATAGCACGAGATAAGTCACCAAATGGACGAAAAAGTATTGGCAGATCAAGAAAAAGATGGTGCGACAATTTAAACAATTTTGGAGGCGAATATTAAAGAAGAAACAGGTTTTAAAGCATACATACTAGAAGGAAGAAGAACAAAAAGATTATAAAGATTAATTAATATTAAACATATTTTAACCGAATGTCAAATTTTCCAAGAAACCAGAAGTAAACTCAACCTTCCCAGCGACATAGGCGACCTTCTTAGAGACAATAATCATCTACACAATATTATAAAGTTTTTAACGGCTATAGGCATAAAAGATATTTAAATTAATATCTAGACTGTACTTATATTACATATATCAATCTTCTTTAATGTTCTTTAATGTTAGTACGTAATTAATATTAACCTTTCTTTGTTATAATATTGTATTTTCCATTGTTGTCGTCTATAACTCCAGTGGTTCGGACGACATTAAATAAATTAATAAAAAAAAAAAATAATAATATTTATAGATAACATTAAGTCTCACTTCAATTCATGTAACTATCGCCTGGATAACTTCACTCGGCAACAAAAAAGCACATCAAGCAGCTAAGGAAGTACTCACAAGCGATTCATCCCAAATAGATCTCCAACTTGGTCCACTGCATCCAATGGAAAACCAAATTATCTCAAACAAAAACATGTAACCGCTGCAAACCATGTCTCACACTATTTTACTTTCTTATAGAGTACCGTCCACATCGTCTAAACCAGCTAATTTTTAACTTAAACGAACAATGAAAGAAATAATGAATGCCAATTTCAACTTAATTAATTTTTTATTCGACACTTGTATCGTAATGTATCGCAAGTTTAATTGTTGTATTTGATTATTTTGATTCTATGCAAAACTTATGCACTTGTTTCGTGTTTATAAGTCCTAGTTTCACTTTAATATTAAATAAAATGTAAATACTATAAATATATTAACACTTTTTAGGGATACAATGGAAAAATAGAAGTGATCAATCCAAAAGCTTCTGCTATTAACATATCAAACGGACGTCCACTGGTGTATTACGTATATTTCCCATCCTGGCAAAACATACCTCCAAAAATTACACAGATCGTAGTCAATGGCAATTTGATTTGTACCGGACCCAAAGTTCCCAGTAAGAACTAATTATTATTTTTATAAATAGTATATTTATTTAAATTAGGTGCAAATCGATTACGAAATAAGGATGTGATCAATTGCACTGAACGTTTGATTAATAGTATTGTGTTCAAGGTCATAACACAATAGCATTACACTCCTACATAACAAAAATCGGAGATCTTTATTTTCGTTGTTTTAATACTAGTAAAGTTTAACTAAAATTTTAAAATTAATTTCGACTAACTCTTCACATCTCCCTATAATTTCTCTTTATTTTCGTCGTCAGATATATACAAATTGATGATTTAAACAGTTTTTGTTAGCTCTGTTGATTTGGTTTCCTTTTTTAGTTAATACTCTTCTTTTTTAATTTTTATGGGATATGTTATATTTATACCTCTCCGAACAGGGTTCTTTTCCCTTTTCGGATTGCCGAATATAGGCCTCTCCTAATTCTCGCCATTTATCTCTGTCGTTTGTAAGACGTTTCCACATTGGCCCTGCAGTTCTTTTGATATCGTCGCCCCATCGCATTTGCGGTCTTGCTCGTGGTCTTTTGGCTTCATATGGTCGCTAATTTCCGATTTCTTTATTGCATCTGCTATCTGTAAGACGTTCGTTAAGCTCCAGCTCATTTCCATTTCAGTTTAGCTGCCTGTTCGAGAGCATCTTTTACTTTATTTCTAATACGAATGTCTTGTTTCTATTACGATTGTTTATTTTAGCGAATGTTTAGGATTGAGCTCCATATGTAAGTATAGGTAGGATATATGAATTAAACACTTTGTTTCGTAGTCTTTGAGGTATATTTTCATTGTTAAGAACGTGTGAAAGTCTTCCGAATGCTGCTCATCCCATTTTTACACGTCTGCTTATTTCGGTAGTCTGATTTTCTTTGCTTACCTTGACATTTTGACCCAGATACGTATATTCATCTACGTGTTCTATCTCTGTCCCTTCGATGTTTATCATAGGTCATCTTTGTTTTGCATTAGTTTAGTTTTGCTAAAATTTATTTTCAGTCCTATTTTTAGGGATTCTGTGTGTAGCTCCTCAATTATTATATTCGTTGCATTTCACGTGTCAGCTATAAGTATTACATTATCTATATTTCTAAGATGGTTCAGGTATCTTCCGTTAATAGGGATTCCCTTATTTTCCCAATCTATTGAGTTAAAGATATCTTCTAGGGCAGCTGTACATAATTATGAGATATTATGTCTCCTTGACTTACTCCTCGGTTAATTTTTACTGATCTTGTTTCGATTCCATTACCCAACGTCACTATTATTTCAGCATATTCGTAAATATTATGCATTAATATTCTGTACCTCGAGTCGATTTGGTTGGCTACTATTGCCCACAGTTCTACGCTATCAAAAGCTTTCTCATAATCTATAAAAGCCAGATATAATAAGAGATTGTATCCGTTAGTCTTTTCTATTAGGATTTTATGGATTACAGGTGCTGTACCCTTTTCTACATCCGGCTTGTTCTACTGGTTGATATCCGTCAAATTTAATTGTTAACCTGTTTGTAATAATCTTTGTAAAGGTTTTGTAAAGTTGTGAAAGAAGTAAAATTGGTCGATAATTTTTCAGGTCTGTGGTGTCTCCTTTTTGTGTGTTAGTATTGTTTTAGCAGTATTCTCAGAACAGGGTTCTTTGACCACTACAAATAGAGTTATTGCTAGTAGGTACATGATTTATTTTGCCTACATTTTTACTTTGCATCTAAGCTTCTTTGTTTACTATTTTTATATTTTTCACTGTTTATACACGTCAATTATGCTTTACTCTATTGTCTCCAAATCCAATTCTTGTTAATTTCTCTATGTTTTGCTAAATTCTGCCCCTTAATGTGCCTAACCCTGACGATTGTAGGCGATCATCATGGTCATGGCGATATTTATCTTCACTACAGCAGAGCGGAAAAGCTGCACAGATGTTGTGTTGAACAGGTTCTGAGGTTCTATAATCAGCATGTTTTTCTTCCTAAACCTCGCTTTCCAAATATTTTTCGTTGCAGAAGAGCTTGTGAGAGGGCATATCTCGATTCATTTTGCATAATATGTCTGAAATATTGTAACTTTCGAGATTTAATAATAGTCAGTACTTCTCGGTTCTTCTTCATCCTTCTGAGGACCTTCTCATTTGTGACCGGTCAGTCAAGTATCAAGGAGATCTCAGGTATTGTGCATACTAAATTCTAATATAGCAGAATTCATGACTTTCTAATTTCAATATAGCATTATTAGTGCAGACGTCTTTAACGATTTAAATACTTCGTTTAGAGATTTTGTGGATCTAGCTTCGACGTCGACGGCATCTGCATGCCAAGATGCAAAGATGTCGAGATGTCAAGAAACTGTCATTCGTATTAATCTGCGACACTCGAGTTAATTTTTCTAGGGTCTTAAAAAACTCATTAATTAGTTAGGCATATGGTTTAAAAGGATGTTACCACTGTTTTCAGAAAGGTCGACATGGAGATTAGCCAAACCAGGAGCTTTGTTATTGTTCATTTCTTAAATGGCTTCTCTAGTTTTTTCTTCGGCAACGAGTAGTCAATGATTATTTTTATTCATTTAAATCATGAGAACCTCAATATCTCATCATTATGATTGCTACTAGGCAGTTTTTCAAAATTATTCGCTCATCTGTTTAGTATCTGTTTCTTATCTGTTTCTTATCATTAATTGCAGAATGATTCCTATCTTCAGAGGCTATTATTCTAGGTTTTAGTTCTTTTCTACAGCTATTCCTCCTGAGTCTTTACTGTTGTCGTGGTTAACAATAACGTTTAGAATGTTTTCGTCCTTTTTTTGCTTCTAAATATTATTTTTCTTCTGGTGGAAAGTTCTTGTAATCTTCCAGAATTAATCTCGTTCTGCACTGCTGAAGTATATAATGTGCTTTATTTTATTTTTGGTTGATAGATCTACATTCTTTTTTTCAAAGATAATTTTTTTCTTCCTGAAACATCCTGTAATTTGCTTAAACTTCTTTTTCTTTTTCGCGTGTCATATCAAAATTATCCGACATTTGCGATCACCCTTCCGAAGGCTTCTCGATCTTCTGCAATATGGGATAATTGTCCCGCATTTGATATTCGGGTCCATTCACGAATGTTCCTTTACCAAGAAACCCGTTTCCTTCTTACACCTCTACGGTCCTCCATTTTGCCTTAAAGGATCAGTTGAAATATTTTATATTGACTTCCCCTTAATATAATATATCCCAGATAAGACATTTTTCGATGTTTAACAGTCTTTAGCAGTTCTTTAACTTTGTTGACGCTCCTTAGTACTTCTTCATTAGTTTTCCTTGCTGTCCAAGGTATCTTCAACATTCGTCTATGAACCCACATTTCCAATGATTTAATTTTGTTCATGATCGATACTTTTAGCGTCCACACTTCTGCACTATACAAAAGTACGGACTAAACATAGCACTTAACCATTATTCCAATGTACTTAAACTTATAGATATTAAATGACTTCTCTTACCTCCTTGCGTCTTGACATTGTTCTTCTAGCCAATTGTCAGGCCAATACTGTACTATGATTTTTTAAGTGTAGTTCTTTTACAACTTGCTTCTCAGTTGGCATGTTTGCATTGATGTTTTTACGTGTTTCGAAGTTTGTCTCTATTTCAGTTTTAAGTTCTTCGTTATTTTTGAATCCTTTATTGATTATATAAATTAATTATTATCACTATTTGTTTGGGACTATTTTCCATGTCTTTAAATGAGACTGAATTAATTTGATTTACTATTTCCTTGATTCTTAATCTCACTCCTTTGTGTATTTTCCTAATATTTTATTTTTAATACATGCATATATATATATATATATATATATATATATATATATATATATATATATATATATATATATATATATATATATATATGTTTATGTACTTTCTATTTAAGTCTATCTATTCTATTTATTATTCTTATCTATTAAAGTCACTTTTTATCTATTTTGAAGTCAATATATTGACCAATACCTACCGATTATAAATGAAAGAAACTATAAATACTACTACGTCTATATTTTTTTTCAAATTCCACATTATTGTTTCAAAACATCATTATCATTAGCAACAAAGGCTCTCTTTAACTACCTGTTTTTGAGTTGTATTGTAATTCTGCACGTAATACGGCATTTGGAAAAACGCTCATTAAAAATGAATTTAGAAAGTTATAATATTTATACATGTTCAGTGCAGTTGGTTTATTTATCGACTCTTCCTCAAACTAGGATGTGTTTCATAATAACCTTCAAGCCGGTCAAGTTTTTTTACTATTAGAAATTGTTACCTGTCTATAATTTTTAATAATAGATCTAGTTATTGTACCTATTATATGTTAATATCCATCCAGTGTGATCTAAAGTGCAACACCGACGCCATATTATTAACATGTCAGTGATTATTTGTGTATTTTGTTTTCTAGTGAACTCAGTGCCTTTTATAACGACTGTGAACCTGCAACATACTTTGAGGATTAATATTTCACCACTGTCGAGTTCAAATATAGCCCCAGAAAATAATCTTATACCAGTCAATAACTATCCTGCAGGAGAACCGCCTGACGGTAAGTGGCATATTTATATTTCTTTAATTTTGGTTTTAGAAAGAGTTAAATTTAAGTTTTAAAAATTGCTTTGCTAAAATGGACTAACACACTGTAAACTATCACTTGAAATACTATAAAGCGTGATGGCGAATTTGGTGGATATGCACCTTGATGTCTTTTAGATTGAATCTTTATGATATGAGGTATGAATTGGATTTAGGTATGAATATATTAAATAACCAATATTACATGAGCCTCTGATTGCTGATTTTAAATTTAAAGTCACAAGACTATCGATCAAAATTAATAAAAACGCTGAGATGTAATAACTGGCAGAACTATGTGCAAGCAACAATCCATAATTCTAATGTCCGGATGACATATAAAATAATATAAGAGATAACATTAATAATATCACAAAGAAAACATCAACAACATCCTTGAAACGTAATGAAAAGTTGATCTTGGGTCCTGTAGAACTATGCAACGTATGCACAAGATATTTTCAAGTCCTGTTTGAACTCCAGATAGAGGTTAGAAAACCTGTCAAATGGGAAGCATGGTCTGGACCCGAAATTCTTAAATTTAATGTTCAAGAAGCTCTGAGAGCAATAAAGAATCGAAATAGTCCGGGTTATGATAATGTGTTAATAAGTTCTTAAAATATTCGGCCTAAGTATCTCACATTACAAAAATCAACTTTTGTAAGAATTCCGAACAACGTACATCCTAAAGACTGTAGTAACTATCGACTTATAAGTCTTATAAGCCTTGCTATGAAAGTTCGAGTGTAGACTTTTGAATATAGTCGATATGTAAAGAAAATAGCTGAAAGACACAATTGGGTTTTTTTGAAAGGATTAGATGCAAGAGAAGTTTTGTTTTCAGTCAAACTATTAATTCAAAAGTGGTACGACCAACGCCCAGATGTTTTTGTATATTTAATACATTATCAAAAAGCTTTTGATAACGTTAAACATGATATCTTACTAAATAGGGCTCCTCGAGATAGGAAGAGACATGAACCTTGTTTTAACAGCCATCATCAACTAGCCAATATTTTTCCACTGCTGAACGTACGCCTTCCGTAAAATTTATCACCGTTTTTAATCTTGAACTTCTTGCATACAATTTGTGGTGATTCACTTTATATCATCTGTTTATCTAGCCGGTGGCCGTCCTCTGTTTCGATATGGCTCTTGTGTTGGTCATCATTTAAGAATCTTTCTGCTCCATCTATCAATCGTCAGTCTGGCAACGTCTGACATAAGCCCGTTTAGCCATGGTTATTTTTTCAACTGCATCCGTGACTAATATTATTTTTCTTATTTATAGCTAATGGTAATTACTAACATTGATTTTTCCATCGCGTTTTGTATAACTCTTATTTTATTTCTTGTTCCCTTTGTTAGAGTGATTGATTCTGCACCATATGTAATGACCAGTAAAACACATTGGCTAAAATAAATAAACTGGATAATTAGACTTGAAAATGTCGTCTAATATACCAATGACAACCCATTTGAGATCTATCCTTTTTTTGTATTTCAGTTGTCTGATTATCTCGGCCTAAGTAAATCTCATGCCCTAAATATTTGTAAGCTTGGTCGATGCTATGCCTTTAAATCTGAATTTTCTCGCTAACTACAAGGTTGGTCATAAATTTTGCCTTAGACGTGATAATTTTAAGACCAATTGTTTTTAATGCTTCATAGAGCGTTTCCAGCATTTTTGTAGCTTTATCAACTCTATCAATATTATAACGATGTCGTTGGCAAATCTTAGGTGATTTAGATCCTCTCCATTTATATTAATTCCCTTGTTATCCTCTTGTACCAGTTGCTTGAACATATATTCGAGTACAACTTAAACAATTTCGAGTAGATAGTATCACCCTGTCTAATTCCATATTCTATTCGGAACTTTTTGGTATTTTCGTGAAGTCAGACACACGCTGTACTAGTTTCTTAGATACTCGTAATCAAGGTAATAAATCGGTAGTCGATGCCGCATTCAGCCAATTCTCGAAGCGTTTTATGATGATCTATAGTATCAAATGCCTTTTCATAGTCTACGAATATAAGAAACAAAGGCTTTTTGTATTTTATGCACTTTTCCATAAGCGTTTTAATAACTTGTAGTATATGATCATTAACTGAACTTAAGACGTAATCTTGAGACTAAATATTCAAAGCCCAGGAATATACCAAATATCACCAAAAGAGTTAGTAATCATTACATATTACATTACTAAAAAAACTTTTATGAAAAATAATAGATCCAGAGCTTACAGCCGCAGACTGGATCCCAAATTATTAGTTTGGATTTCGACGAGCATACTCAACTATCTAGCAATGCCACCAAATAACCTATAAAATCAACTCCGCATTAGAAGAAAAGGAATCTTGCCTAATGGTATCACTAGATGTAAGACAAGCTTTTGATAAGGTTTGGCATAAAGGCCTTCTTTTTAAAATTAAACAAAGAATACCACCATTCTTTCGAATACTTCCATCACACTAGGCAGTAGAAAAAAAATTATAATCTTACTCACAATGTATTTGTTTAGTAAACCACGACCAGTTTTGACCACTACAGTTTTCTGGTCATCATCAGGTCACCGGTAAAGTATGTACAATCTAGACAAAGCTAAAAAAATTATATATTGTAAAACTAGTAATTTAACCAAAGCTTACATCAGGTATGGTATACTTTATATATTTTTTACAAAAGGTGCAAATAATCTTTATGTTAGTTAAAATTGAGGGTGAGGGGTGGTTTTTTATTGAATGTAAACGTGACATTATTTCATGGAGCAATTTGTTTTTGAATGGCCATATTTTTGTTTTTTATGGGTGGTTCAATTTGTACGTTGCAGTTGTAATTTCTGAATTCTATAAATATCTTGGTTATGGTCTGATGTTTCAAGGTTTTTACGGGCTCTTTTGTAATCCTGTGTTTAGTAATAATGATGTTTCTTACCTTGTGACCCAGTTTTGTCAGTAGTTCTTTGATATCTTCTATTGTATGTAAATGGTGAAGATACTTAATTACGACTCTGTAGGCTTTTTATTCCTTTAGTTGATATGCATAATAAATAATGTTATGCTGTTCTCTCATATAATTTTCGGTATATTTCGGGGTCGCTACAACTATAGACTGTATTTAGAATGTATTATTTGTCATGGTGCTGGTTTCGTATTGTTTAGATTTAGCTATTTCAGTAAATTTATTTCTCATTTCTGGAAAGTCGAATACATTGTAAACAAATATTGGTGGTGGTTTAGGTTTTCTTGGTGCTCTTTCATTTTGATTGGTTTTATTTTCGGGGATATTCGTTTTTTTTTAAGTACCGTCTCCACTAATGAAGGTTGCTATTTCAATCTTGCTATTTCAATACGTCTTCTAATTTCTTTTGAATGGTTTAGCTGACTGTTTAGCTCTCTGTCCAGGTATATGAAGCTTCGGGAGCTCTGAAGGGTGATACCATTGATTTGTATGTTGGGTGTAATTTGTTCATAGGGGTTCTTGTGGAATACCATGATTTTGGTTTTGGAAAGATTAATATCCAAACCTAGTCTGTGACTAGGTCATAATATATTAACGCAACGAAAAGATTTTTTTGTTGATCTCGAAATTTTTGGGCAAGAGTTGTGAAACTTTACATAGCTTTCACCGTTCTGAAGCCGTTACGAAAGACAAACTATCTATTACTCATATCCGCTTCGCGCTTTCTGAATATTCTTGCATGTATTATCTTTAAAAATATTTTTAATAAGTGTGACATTAGGCTGATTAATCTATAGTCATTACAGTGATTGGGGTTCTTGGTTTTTGGTAGCGGAACAGATTTCGATAGCAGCCAGTATGTAGGTATCTCATCAGATCTGTATATGTTGTTAAAGAGTATAGTTGTAGCACTTAAATTGTCTTCATCTATAAGTTTATCAGCTCGATATGAGCTTTATCTGGCCCAGGGGCTCTGCCAGATTTTAAGTTGTTTATGGCATGTTAGACTTCAGATATTAGTATTATTGGAGCTTCCTCGTTATCAATTTGTGTTGGTTAGGTTCTTGTGTCTATGAAAATATCTTCAATATATTTAGTACATACTTGTTTTATTTCAATTGGGTTATTAATAGGTTTATTTTTTTTTTGCCAATTAATCGTTTAGGTGTATTTGTTCGTGATTTTCCAGATAATTATTTCACTTTTTTATGTAAAATTCCACTAAGAAACTAAGTTCCTGTAGCTGGCTGTATACCATATATCACAAAAAATTGTTTAAAATCCTTTATAAGAGGTATATAAAAAATGCCCCAAACGGGCTATCACAAACACATTGCAAAGCGTTTTCGGATTGATAAATCCATCATCAGTGCAAATGGTTGTACATGCTAGTAGCCACCAAAATATATGGGTCAAAACCCTTTAAATGTTTTAAATTTGTAGTTGTTTTACATTATTAGTAGTTATAATTTGTGATGTTTAAGTTACCGTTGGATAGGTAACATGGCGGCGTATGACTCTACATAAGTAAAATGGCCCTGAGACGAAGTGTCTACGAGGACCTGTTGATAACAACTGATACATTTTTTATGTAAATTATAATAATCATGCTTTTTCTGCAATTCCTCCACTTTGATGGATGTTTTCGTCATCCACTTTTCCTCAGCTTTTTTCATTTTGTTCGTTATTAATTTATATTTTTCTCTGTACTTATTTGGGTTTTTGTTTCTATATTTTCTTCTCTGTTCCATGATTTCCAGTATTTTTTGAGTCATCTAAGGTTTTCGGCTTTCTTTTTTCTTCGTGAGTTTCTTTCTCTGTTTTTATAACAGAATATTTAATTTTGCTCCACATAATGTTCACATTCTCAGTATTATTTATTTCTGATGTATATTTCTTTCTTTCTTAATTGATACAAGTTGAAGCCTCAGCACGGATTTCATTTATCTTGAGTAACTGAGTATTCACCTTAGAACTTTTGGATTTTATTATCTTTTTTACCCTCAGTTTCATTTTTGAGACAAGGAGGTTATGATCTGAGAGGACATCTGTTCCAAAAAAGTCTTAACGCTTACAATGAAATTTCTAAACAAACCTAATAGCCATTCGTGGTCGGAAGGGACAAGAGTTAGCCAAGAGAGGCTAATAGGAAAGATTAAAGACATTTTACTCAAGACAAGTGGAAACACAACAAAATGTGAAGGCCCTTATTATGCGTCAGGTGCGTTTTATAAGCGTATAAGTATTAATACACTTTGTGTTCACGCTCATACCTCGGGGTGTTGACTATAGACTACATGGCTACTCCAGCATGCCATAGCATGCAGGGTGATGTGCACGTTATTCCCAATTTCATGGCCTGACTCCTAGATATTTTTTAGGGTATCATATTTGTTCGAAAGTGTAATATTATTATCTTATTTGTCTGTTTTCACATTCGATGTAATTTTCCTGCATTTGGTAGTTTTAATTACTTGCCATCGCTGTTTATGGTTCGCCATTGCCTGTTGATGACAGTCTGTAGTAGTGGTGGCTGTATCTGTTATTTACATTGGTGTTGTGTGGTGCATTTTGTTGATTTATATATTGTTCTTGGTTTGGGGTAAATATTATATTGTTGGAAGATGTTGTGACCTGATTTATTTTCATATTGTACATACCTGGTATTTGTGTTGATTTGAAACTTTACATTAACATTTATTTGTTCAATTCGAGAATCGGATGGTGATAAGAGTAGACATTTAATTATTTGCTTGGATTGGAGACTCGATATGAACTAAATAGTCAATATGAGAATGATTTTGTTTATTTCGTATATTATAGGTTGACTTGCTTTAATTCGCAAGACTGTTTTAACATTCGTTATATCTAATAATGTTGCCAATTTCAATATATCATCTACTATCTCATTTTGAAATCCAGAACATGGTCCTACATTGTATTACTTTATATTTCTATTTGTATTGACCTACATATTATGGATAAAAACCTCCTTTATTAGGCCACTCTCAAAAGTTAATATTCCCGAGGACACAATTTCATAATGCTAATGTCAAATAAAATATCGTTTAAAGCCTTAGTATAATATACTGACTAAAATAGAAAATTTATTTACAGCTTCGTTTCATTTCTACGAAATAGACCAATACGGAAACACAAAGCGACCAGCATACACTGACAAAAACAAATTTAACTTCAACCCCACGCTACCGCCGAACCAATTTAATTTTCAACCGAAACCACAACCACAACCAATTACTGAAAGTCCTTCGGATGTTTACAAGGGAAATCCATTTTTCACTAATGACAATATTTATAATACTGGAAATAATGGACAAAAACCGAACACGGGCAGTGTTATTCACAGTAAGTACAGTTATTATGTTTATTTATTTCTTTTTTTATTTGACTTTGGACGTATGTAAATTTAGACATAGCGTAACATCATTTGGAGATTTTCTTGTGATATTTTAATGTAAGGTACTATCTTTGATAAGATTTAATTTTGGTTAATAATACGTTTATTTTTACATGAGAAATCGTCCTCAAATACCCACGTGCAAATCAAATTTTGAACCGTTTTACTGATATTGTAATTAATTTCCAATAAATGTAGTAAATTAATAAGAACAATATGAATTGAAATATACCCTTAAGTAAATAAATAATGTTTAATTTAGTTTATTGTGTCTCAACTACAAGGTTATTGACACTGGGTTAGTTTTTATTACTCTACATTGTACATTACATTATAATTTACAATAAAGAGAATAAAAAAGAAAGTAGAAAAAAGCAAGAATTTTTTAATACAAATTCATTTCTCGAAGGAAATCTGCATTATGAACAAGTTCTAATTGGCTCAAATCATCAGAATCAAATTTTTAGTAAATTGCATAGATTATTTTTTCTTCTTACTCGTACTTGACATACTGTGTAAGAATATGTTGAATGGTTAATCATTCATTGCATATTTTACAAACAAGTGATTTTTCCCAAGGCACCAGGTGTCCATGTGTCAGCCGTGTGTGACCAATTTTTATCCTGCGAATGACTAAATTGTCTCTTCTACTTAACTTAGGTAGCTGAAAGGTTTCGATAGTAGGTTGAAGTTTGTGTAATTTCGAGGTTAAATTCTTCCATTGGTTTTCCAGGACTTTCTTTGGGACCTGATAAGTAGTTTTAGATCTAATGCAAGTTGAAAGGATTTGATCTCTGATTTGGTTGTAATTGCTTCTTTTGCAGCAGTATCGGCGGTTTTCAGCAGCACTATCAATGTTTTTAGTTTAGTGGTTAACAGAATTAGATATCCTTCTCTCTCAGTAATGTAATTCAAGTCAACTACCACCCCATTAGTTCTACCAACAAGTATACCACTGCCGCCACATAAATGACTGTTCTGTCTTCATTAATTCGCTGCACGTGACCATACCACACAAGTTGTCTCTTTTCAATTCTGTCTACACTGAAATATAGAGTATTTGTCCTCTTTCTAATATCTTCATTGCTTATATGATCTTTTTGGATACACCACACGCTTCAAATCTATTCTACTACTTCTATTTTTTGTATCTTTTTTCGTGATCTGTCAAACTTCTGCCCCATAAGTCATAATAGGCTCTACCAAGGTTCGATAGATTGTCAATTTCATTTCTTGTCTAATATCTTTAGACCATAGTAGAGAGTTTAGAATGTTTATCGATTTTTTCCCTGCTGCGTTCTGCTTTCGATATCTCTTTTGGTAATGCCTTCTTCAGATATTATAGATCCGAGATATTTATATTCATTGCATGTTTTTGTGTTTCTAATTTCAACTCTGGATTTTATTCATCATCTCCTATTTTAAGATACTCCCTCTTTGACATATTTATACTGAGGCCCCATTTTTTATATTTTTTCTTTAGTTTTCTAAACATGTAGTGCATGTCTTCCTCATCATTCGCTACGACTACTTGACCATCTCGAAAAATAAAGTTGTTAGACATTTATCACCGCCTATGTCTATTCCCATTCCGGATACTAGTTTCCTCCACTGCTCTAGCGATGATTGAATATATATTTTAAATAAGGTCGGAGGTAGACAACATCCTTGTTTAAGCCCCTTTGTTATTGGAAATGATTCAGATATAAAGTTTGCTTCTTGCATTTTCGTATAAATTTTGCGATAGCATCTATATACTCTCTACTGAGACCTACTTTCGTCAATGTTTAAAACAGTTTTTTAAAGCTACCGCATCATATGCCTTCTCTAAATCTACAAACAATAGGTGGGTAAATAGATTCCTTGCCTTCCGTTTTTCAATTACTTACTGCAGAATGAATATACCATCAGTGCATGATCTTCCTGCATGAAATCCACTTTGTTCTTCTATGTCTTCGTATTCTGATTATATTCTTATTTTTATTATTTGACCGTACAACCTCCCCACTGAGCTGATAACAGTTATTCCCCTATAATTAGATTATTTGCGTTTATATCCTTTCTTGAATATTGAGCTGATTTATCCAGCTCTCCAATCATCAGAGATATTTGGTCCTTTTAAGCATTTGTTAAATAGTTGAACCAACATCTCATGTAATATTTTTGGTCCATACTTTACCAACTCAATTGGTTTGTCTTCGGGTCCTGCTGCTTTACCGATTTTCGATCTTTTGAGGGCATCGCTTAACTCTCCGGTTGTTATCTCAATTATTTGTGTATGTTCGGATATTTCTTTCATTTTGATCTCTTGGAATTTACATCTATCCTCTGTCAGTAAGACCTAATAATGGTGTTTTCACTGTTTCAGAGATCTATTAATAGTAAATGGATTTTTCCTTTTCTTTCTTCCGTAGGGACTTTATCACCTTCTACGCTTGTCCAACTCTTGTTCCGTCCATATACCTATCCACCTCTGCACATCTTCGATCCCACATCTCATTTTTACTTTTCACTACTTCTCTTTTTACATCTCGATTTAATTTTTTATATATCTTATAATCCTCCTCATTTCTCGTTGACATCCATTTCTGACAAGCAGTTTTCTTTTTGTTTACTAACGTTTGCATATTCTCCGACCACCATTCTTGATTTTTTGATTCATGTTTGTCTTTATACCCCAAAGCTTCACTTTTAGCCTCATGAATGCATTTTAAAGTTGCTGATTTAATTCTTCCGCCGATATATTTTCTCGATCCACATTTTGTAATTTTGTGGCCAATCGTAATTTGTAAAGAAATTTCGTTGAAAACTTCTTTTAAGCTTCGTAGGTTATATTAAATGTTACTTCTTTTAACATCTCCTAAAATATCCTTTAATAATTTATAAAATCCTTTATAAGAAAGTTTATTTATTTACAAAGGACTCTTTCGGACTACATCAACTATTCCATCATCAGTGCCCTTACCTACACTTTGATGAACACAAACGTAATTTAATCTAATTAATTTAATTTACCTCTCAGACTTCGACAATAACTCAGCATCATGAACATATCTACCATCACTAATTAGGTGTATGCATTGAGTTTTGCCTACCTATAATTCAAATATTTTTTAACGTCATCGCATCTAAACGTTTCTTTTTCTATAATTTTCTAACATAATCTTGCAGGGTACCTATATTACACTTCAACTCCACTATATGGCTACTTTTACTGTTGAAGTAATATTAAATCAAACTTTTTATTCAATTGACACATTATTGGCTATAATCGCATTAGAACACGTACTTCAAGAAAAATGGACTAATTTAAAAAGAAAAACGCGATAAAACCAAACAGCTTTGTAGAAATATCACATCTTAAATGCTAACATAATGCTTTTTTACTCTCCTAAATATTTTAAATGCATAAATACTCATTAACAAAAGTAGGCGTACCACAACATATTTTCGCTTACCACTGGACTATACGAACACACTACTGTAATAGTTAAACTGCTAATTCCATCCAGAACAAGGTGTCAGACAAGAATATCTGTCTCCATCATCATCATATAACAGGGGTTCTACGGCGATTGCTGCTTCCCGCATTTCAGCCTCCAACTTTTCCTATCTCTCCAATCTCCCTCTTCTAAGCCTCTAGATTGCATTGTTTTTGTAATTTCTCTTCTCCAGGAATTTGGTGGTCTTCTTCTTTTCCTTCTTTCTGGCGGAACATACATTAAGGCTTTCTTTGGCCACCGCTCCTCCTCCATTCTCATCACGTGACCATACCATTGTAATTGCCTTCCTTGTATTCTATCTGAAAGAGTATCTCTAATTCCTGTACGGTTTCGTATTTCCTCATTCCTGATTCTTTCCATTCTCGATACTCGACATGATCTTCTACGAAATTGTAGATTTATTAGATATTCTATTAATATCTGTCTGCACAATTATTCAATATATATGGGGACCATATTATGAGAAGTGCGCTTAAAGGATGAGAAATGGGCATCTCAATAAATGACCGAAAAATAAACAACCTACCTTTTGCAGATGGTACAACCCTTCTTGCAAATAGAGGAGAGTTAATTGATCTCATACGATTGTTTGAAAACGAAAATCAAATATTTGGTCTGTAGTTAAACATATTAAAGACAAAGATCATAAAAGTGGATAGATTACATAACAATCATCCACACATAACCACGATTGACCAGTTTGAGATTGTGTGCTCATACTTATGTCTTCTTCTTCTTCTTTTTATATAGACATGACTCTGTCTGTTTTTTAATGTGCCTTCAGTAAGCTGTCGTTCCATTGTTTTCGTAGTCTTCCTACTGATCGTCTTCCTATTGGGGAACTGCCTCTTGCCGTCTTTACTACTCTATTTGTTGTTATTTAGCTTATATGATCATTCCATCCACTCTTCTATTTCTTACCCAGTTTTTGATGTTCCCCACCTTGCATCTATGTCGTATATCTGTACTTCTAGCTCCCATTGTGTCCAACCATCAATTTTTTTAAGTGTTTTCATCTCTGCTACATCCTTTTTGTCCTCTCTGTGTCAGGTTTTGTTTCTGCCGCGTATGTCATTATTCGTCTGATGACTGTTTTGTAAATTCTGCCTTTCGTTTCTTTCCCGATATTTTTATTTTACCATATTGTTTCATTTAGACAGCCAGCTCTGTTTGCTCTATTCACTTGATCTTTCACTTCAGTTTCGAGCTTTACGTAGCTAGATAATGTGATGCCTAGATAATTAAACTCCATTACTTGTTCAAGTATCTTACCTTCCAGCTCCAATTTACATCTTAGTAAATTGGCTGTTGTAAATATGCATTTTGCCATTTTTGGGAAAATTAACATGTTAAATTTTCTGTCGGTTATATTAAATTGGTGCCGCATACGTTGAAAATCATGTTCACTTTGAGAGAGTAGTATTGCGTCGTCTGCATAGCAGAATATTTAAGTTTTTTTTCTCCCATTTCTTATCCTTTTTTTATTCTTACTTTTTTTATTATTTCATCCATAATCAGGTTGAACAATAGAGGACTCAGGGAATCTCCCTGTCTTATCCTATTTCCAGCTTCAATAGGGTCGGTTAGTTCTTCTTTTACTTTTTGTTTTATCTGGGATCATTAATTACAAACAGAGGGTCACTAACGGAAAATGTGAAATGTAGATGGGATCTGGCAAAAGTCAACTCAAGAAACATGGCTAAAATATGAAAGGACCCACATTTCACAACTCTAAAAATGAGGTTGATTAGTTAAGAGTAGAATTAAAATTTACTATTTTACCCATTTCGCATAGCCCAGAGAACAAAGAACGATATTATTAAATCGTTTTATTCTTATATATATATATATATATATATATATATATATATATATATATATATATATATATATATATATATATGTTATACTATAGATTTTTTATTCTTCAGCCCCTAGGCCAACTCCAGCCCCCTTAAGGCCAACGCAAAACATTCCTGCCATAGCTACACACACGGAACCACCTCGGCCTTCAAAACAACCAATAGATTTTCCAGACGATATTGAATTGGCTTCGAAAGATAGCATACAACCTGTCAGACCATACGAAGATGTTTGTGGACAATCTTTGACGACCAATCATTTGATTTTCAACGGGAAGCTTGTACCAAGAGGCGCTTATCCGTGGTTAGTTGCTGTTTTTCAGGTCAAGACTACCGGTGTCAACTATATTTGTAGTGGATCGCTAATTTCAACCAAACATATTGTTACTGGTAAGCAAAATAATTATTACTTGTTTAACTATTAATCAAATTGTAGTATAAGGTCTATAAATCTTTTCTTATTTTATTTGGTAGATTATTCATGTGCTAAGATTTTGTTTGCTTGATTAAAGATACAAATATCAGCTTCATAATTTATGTGCTGGGTAAAGATAATCTCATACTTTAACAATCGACAACAGATTAACGTACTTATACTTTTACATATATATTTTCTTTGACCACCTTTGTTCCACAGCCTTCAAAGTTTTCTGTGCATGCAACCTAATGCCTCTGGAAAAATACTTCAGTCTTAAACTCTTATGCTTCATATACCTTTTGTGCTTACAGTGTCAGTAGTCTTACTATTTTGATAATAATAATTTGGCTGAAACCTACTAGGTCTGTTGTAAATTTGTTTGAAAGCCCTTTTAAAAAATTATTTAATCTGTCTCTAAATCGGTACATTTTTTCACTCTGTGCTCGCAATTTCGAAGAATGGTTGCAGACCAATTAGTGGACTAGTGTTCTCCTTGTTAAGTTCATCAGCCTTCTCCTTGACTCGATAGCCCTTGTTTACATCCAGACTAGTGTTAACCTATGACTCGAGTAAGGACATTTAAATAGTTTAATAGAAGGATTGGTTCATCTTTTGCAATATGTTCTTTAGAGAAAATATCTCAATCTCTGCAGTTAGAGTATGAATCTAATATCTTCTGAATGACATTAAACTGTCAAACTACCCCAGCCTGTGTGTTTTGTTAAATCAAGCCTCTGAACTATAAATTATCATGTAATTTATGACCTGGTACATGCGCTTCCAAGTAAGATTGTAGTTGTGTGATTAACCTTTTAGATGTATTCATATGAGCTTCTGATCAAATATTACACCAAAGTTAACTAAAAAATTGAATCTCAACGCCCTAAGTATTGATAGGAACAGTCCTAATATTTCCTTTTGTGTAAAGGTTAGAACTCCTTTTGGAGGTTAAGTATTACGGAATCAAGAATTAAAACCCTGTCTCTAGTAAATCGTGCATCAGTACCTATAACCCAAAAGAGTGGTGTTGTTAATCCCATTGTGGATATGTACTACCTACACTCGTCTTAATGGAGGCTTTTTATAACGAGAATACAATCATTGGATTTGGTAGATATGCCTATTGACAGATAAAGTCTAAGACCTCTCTTCTGCATGTTCTCTTTGTGTTGAAGTGATTTTGAGAAACATATTTTGTCTGATAAAATCGTCCAACTAGCTGTAGTGCATATTGAAGATCGACGACTGGTATCTGTTTTGGAACTCCGGACGTTATTTGCTGATCCAATAATATTTTTAGCATAAATAAGTAAGAAGTCCGATAGGCCTGTATGACTTAAACGATTTAGTGTGTTATTCCACCCAGCTTCGATATTACAGAAAGTGGTTGATATTTCATATAACCATATATGGCCTTATAATTTATATATACACCCAAATGGCAGTTCGCTCGAGCGGGTCTACTAAACTGAAAATATTTCACCTAAACTAGAATTCCTTTTTGTAAGTCTAGATTTTGTTAAACTTTCCTTTAGCATTTTTGCATTAATTTTGTTTTGCATTTTTAGGAGGTCGATCTGATTCACAGTAAAATATTAGGACTATCGAATGCGATCTTGTGAAACCTATTTGAACACAATTTTTTCTATATTTTTTCACTTTATAGATTTATTTTTTATATTATGTTAGTTTTTTTCCATAAATATTTCACTCTTAATTTGATTAAATAATCTCGACATTAGCCTATAGCTTTTATAGGTACTCGGCTGACCGAAGTTTCAGGGGTTTGTTGTATCTGTGATCTCTCTGAATAATTTTCATTCTAAATAGCCATTATTTACTGTGTTATGCTTATACTTATCTTTGTGTTCCACCAAGACGCATTCCAAAAAGTTTAAAGCCTTCTCATTCCGTCTCTCGTAGGTTTTTGAATATTTTTGTCACCAAAGATAAATAGTTATTAAAGTTATTGTGGGAAAATACTCCCACAATAACTTCTAGAACAAAAGGGAACAACTATCCAAAAGAAATCAGAGAACTCATAGTAGAAAAAAGAAAGTTAAGAAAAAAATGGCAGCAATACAGAGCTCCACGAGACAAAACTAGTCTAAATAATGCTACACAAAAACTAAAAAGAGAGATACAGAATATAAAATATTCAACAATTAATTATTTTTTAAGTAATTTAACAGCTGACCAGAGCACAGATTATTCTTTATGGAAGGCAACAAAAAGATTGAAGAGACCAATTATTCATTCCCCTCCTATCAAGTTGGAAAACGGCAACTGGGCTAGAAGTAATGAACAGAAAGCAGAACGATTTGCAGATCATTTAGAAAGCACGTTCAAACCCAACGACAATGATAGTGAAGAACTGAGATGGGAAGAACCATTCCAAACTGACGAAAGAATAACATTGACATCACTTAGAGAAGTATCAACCGAGATAAAAGAGAATATAAATCCTAAGAAAGCTCCAGGATATGATCTCATAACAGGAGAATTATTAAAAAATCTCCCAAGAAAAGCCATAGTTAAGCTGACACACCTAATAAATGCTGCTTTTAGATTGAGATATGTTCCCACACTCTGGAAAGTAGCCGAAGTAATTATGATCGCCAAACCAGGTAAATCTCTTAATGAAGTGACATCCTATCGACCAATATCCCTCCTTTCGGTGATGGCAAAACTATTTGAAAAACTTCTATTAAAAAGATTAAAACCAATAATAGAAAGAAAAAATCTTATACCAAATCATAAATTTGGTTTCAGAAATCAACATTTCAGTATAGATCAAGTTCACAGAATAACGAATATAATAGAAAAAACATTAGAAGAAAATAAAGTCTGCTCTACAATCTTCTTGGATGTAGCACAGGCGTTTGATAAAGTCTGGCATGACGGTTTAAACTATAAACTAAGAACGTTCATGCCTAAACAGTATTCAGAAATCTTGAAATCATACATTGCGAATAGATATTTCAGAGTAAAACAAGAAGAAGTGTACACCGACTTAAGGGAGATCAAAGCTGGCGTGCCACAAGGAAGTGTCTTAGGTCCGGTCCTGTACCTATTGTATACGTGTGACATTCCAGAGCTAGAACAAAATACTATTGCCACCTTCGAGGATGATACATCCATACTAGCGATAGGAGATACTAGTGAAGAAGCGACTGATAAATTGCAACTATGAGTAAATAAAATACATAACTGGACCAGAAAATGGCGAATAAAATTAAATGAGACTAAATCTGCACACATTAACTTTACAAATAAAAAAATAGAAAATTTCCCAGTTAGAATAAATGATACCCGAATTCCTTATGCAACATCAGCAAAATACTTGGGCATCACCCTAGACGCGAAGCTGCGCTGGAAAGTCCATGTCAAAAAGAAAAGAGGGGAGCTTGATATTAGATATAAGAAATTGTATTGGCTGATTGGAAAAAATTCAACATTGTCAATACATAATAAATTATCCATCTACAAGCAAGTACTGAGGCCAGTATGGGTATATGGGTGCCAACTCTGGGGCTGTACCAAAGTTAGTAATCTACTTATTATCCAGAGATTTCAAAATAAAGTACCGAGAAACATTGTTGATGCTCCTTGGTATATCCGTAACAGCAACCTCCACCAGGACCTGGGTATGGAAACTGTGATCGAAATAATCAAGAGAACAGCAGCAAGTCACGAGCAGAGGCTGCATAGTCATGTGAATGTCGAGGCAATCCAGCTTCTTGACAACACTGAACTAAAGAGAAGACTCATAAGGACAAAACCACTTGAGCTAGTGTAAATGTGTAACAGTTTAGTGTAAAAAGCAGAGTATAGTGCTGTGAAGTTATTGCATGCTAGTTGTAGTGCATTAGTTAATAGATAAAATAAGAGTAAGCCATAGGGTAAGCCCTTAGATTTAAGTATTTGCTGTTATTATGTTAGGTCAGAAAATAACTGATGATTGGTCATTTGTGACATGATAGCAGTATACAAACACCGCGCAGGTGTTAATAAAAAAAAAAACCAAAGATAAAAAGATCAAATTAGACCGAATTTACTCGTAATCATCTTTCTAGTTGCTCGTCCGGTTAGGACATCGTGCCATCTTGAATTCCCAACTATGTTTCACCCTCTTTTTCATCTGTTTTTGTCATCTGCAACTATAAAGCAATTGTTTAGTAGGGCTCTGACTTAATCTGTGATCTATGTATCTTGTTGGTGTTCTTCTCAGCTCTCGCTTTTTGCCCCGTTCCCTGCAATGGCAGTTCTCAAAACCATCTCTATGGACTACATGATCAAAGAAAGCGATCATTTTTTCGGTAACAGTGTTTCTAAGCTTTCTTGTAACGTAATGCTTTCTTGTAATGCAAATATAAGAATGTGATTTAGGATATTCGCAACAATCTTCGCTAGAAAACGCCAAATTTCGGACGCATCTGTAGTGTGTTTATCAATTTCTTGTCAACATTAATATCCATATAAAACAATGAAGAAGACTACTGTTTTTACAAGATACACTGTATTTATGTTATGACTTTTTTAAATTTTGAGTTGGTCATTGCTTTCTTGGGCATTGCTGATCTTCTTTTGATTTCTTGGCAGCATCCTTCAGAGTTGGTTATGAGATTAAAGAATTGATTCACTTCGATGCGATTGAGGATGATAATTGCTGATTGGTAGTTCGGCTTTTCGATAGATTTTAATCAGTATGGGGCTTATGGCGTGGACCGGAATAGTTCCGGTACGACCCGACTGGCTTGCTGACAGACCAAAAATAATCTTTCCCACATCCCGCAGTCGTACAGCGTGCTTCCTTTTATAACCTTGAATATTTACTTTGATCAACGTGCATTATATTTCTATTTTCACGTCTATCTTATATGAAAATGAGGTATATGGCATGATAAATAAACACTTAATTATAATAATGCAACAGATTATGCTTATTTCTATTCGAAATTTTAAGACGCAATTTTTAAAGTACCTCTCTTCGAAGATTTCAAGAAGCAATAAGGAATGCTTATTAAAAAACCCCTTAACCCTAGATTACCGGACTTGTTTAGCCGCATGTGATTACCGCACGGAAATGTTTCGACTTAAAGTAACGGTGTCGAATCTTTGTCTCGTCCATCGTTCTGCAAAAGACTGGCTCAAATCAACCATAATATACTGGTACCGAGGGACGGGCATTTTACCTCGTTTTAATATGTTGTATGTGTAAATGATATAGGAATTAATACTGCCTATATTAACCATATCATAAAATGCACACAACGGCCATCTTCGGGTTTTCCTGTTTCAGCTCATGTTGGAACACATTTGGTCAAAAGTATTTACGTCTGATTTTGTGCTATTGTAATTTTTTATAATCACAGGCTTGCCTGTTTCTTCTGATACTTCTGCGGTTTCGTGCAGAAAGCAGTAAAACTAGTTTCTGTTTTTTAGGGACGTAATATAACAAAGTTTTCTTTTGATCAAAACAGAAAATCGAAGAGTTTTCATCTCAACCTTAGTGCCAACATATCTGTGAGAATTTCTATTTTGTTTTTGCGAAGAGTACCTACCTAATGCTGTTAATTTATATGGCTCTTGTTATAGTTCATCAAATAGTTTCACTGACGTAAACCCGTTTCTATGGTTACTTTCCGATTTGATCCATGGACAAATTTTGTTAGTTCTTGGACATAATACTGTGTTAGTGGCAAACTATTGGTATTAGTTTTCTTTCCCAAATAGGGACTTGCATCAAACATCTATTACCTGGAGGAATCACATAACATAACAATGTTAATCCTGTACTTTGAAGGTTTATTCTGGATGTACATCCTACAAGGGCATCTTCCCAAGGAATCCTAGCAGTTGCCCATCAATTGTAAGATATGATGATGGAGTGTATGAATTGCGGCATATTTCAATGCAAATATCCCATATTTCGCTGAATTATCATTCGCTGAATCAAAAGGATCATTTATTCGTCTCTCTTGCCATGTTTGCCTTTTGTCAAATCTTACACAATTTAATAGAAATGTAAAGCGATTACAACTTATACACGTTCTGTAAAACGTTCCTGAAATGGAGGTGTTAGACATATATTTTGCAGATAAATGGTTACCTTTTTAGCGGCAGAAAGGACAAGAATTTCAAGTAAGGCTAAATCTTCAATTGTTATTTGAGACACATTTTTATGATTATTATGTTTCTCAGCTTGTCTTACAATTTCCGCATTTGTATGTTGCAAAATAATTTTAAGTAGCGTGTTTGGACACAAATGTAAGAAGTGTTCATTAAAAGCATTACAGTTTTTAGCGGTACCTACCTCTGGGACCTGATACGAAGTGAATAAGATTCCTTGCAGCTGTCATTCTTGATTTATGGGGAACTTAGGTCGACCACCTATGACCATTCTTACCTCAAAAACTTTTTTTTTGTTGGGACCACTACATACTTTGATTTTCCAGATATCGACGTAGAAACTTTTTCAATATCCAAAATGGATCCAAAATCTTCAACAGCTTCATTATCCGAGCGTGAAGGTTCAATCTCCAGATTATCTTCTTTCCAGTCGCTGTCACTGTCTTAAAAGGGATCTGAGTCAAAGTCTTCACCATTCATAATACGCTTAGCCTCTTCTTCTAGTTTTTTTTCTGTCAGTGGCCTTTTGGAATCCATTTTACTGAAATCCAAAATATATTACTCTGAAGCTATTTCCTTGGGGCATCTTATGTAATTTGCTATTTTATTTGGGAATAAAGCCACAATGTTAGTTTAAAATTAGTTTATTTGACGTTTTGACTTCCACTTCGCAAACCGTTATCAAAATACCAATTACAAAAAACGATTTCAAAAGTAGAAGTCGAAACTTCAAATAAATTAATTTCAAACTAAAATTTTGGCTGTATTCCCAAATTAAATAGTAAATTCCAAAATTTGTATTTAATACAAGAATTCAAAATAAAATAATGAGTTAACGACTTACCTCTACGAAATTTATTCGGAGACGATGGAAATAGCCAAAAAAAAATGTACACCTACTAATAAAATTATCGTAGATATCGGAGCTTTGTAAACTTGACGACGAAGGTATGAAAACAATATTGTAGAAATTTTAAATGGGACTGCACTCGTCACTATCCAGCTAGAGCGGAGTTAACATTGGTATAGTAAACGGGTTAGTTGCTTGTACCAGTAGCTTGTATGGAAACAACTAACCCAATGTCAATCTACCGGGTAAGTACTTGTACAAGTGCTTGTACCAGTAGCGAGGATAGGTAAGTAAATAGCTAGCCCATCTATTTACTTGCCTACTGTCCTTTCCTTTCCACCACATTTTCGCCTCGACGCAAGTAGCATGGCAAGTGGTTTGGTAACTAGTCAAGTGTAGACATGTGTGCAAGTGTCCTGACAAATAACGTTATGAGAGCATACGAATGTCTCTGGAATGTTACCAAACAAAGTTATAGAAATAATCAAATGAGATGGGCAGCTTTAGAACAATTAGTTCAACACATGGGCGTTGAGGGATTTACTTTTGCGATATTGCGTCGCAAACTTCTGGTACAAACTTAGATATTGATGTTTTTGGAACTCGAAAAAAATGTTTAAGAGTTCTATAGCTATTTCCTAAAGCCAAAAAATTAAGGGTAACTTATAATTTAACGTGCGCTGGTGAGCCGCCTCTTAACAGCGTATCACTTCTTTGAATTATATTCAAATATTTAGCAAGTATTTGAATTTACTCGTTGTCAACCAAAGGCATAATTTATATACTTCAGGATCTTTCATACGAAGTTCTTTTAAAAGAAGAGTGGATGCCCCTTTTGTGCTTTTTCTATCAATCCACTTTTGAACCCATATCCTTTTTGAACGACATTTTTCTTCTTCAATGAAATTAACGGCTTCTTTAATTAAAATTCTCGATATTCGCAACATAATTTTTTTAATGCGATTTTTAATTATTAATTTTGAATTATTTCACAAAGCACGGCGCCGGCAATGGAAAAGTTTCATCTTTACGCATCTGGTGCTCGTCGGGAACTGGTTAATAAATAATCTTTTATGTGTAAACACTTACTAGCATGTCAACTTGCGTATATGAACTGTCCTGGATATTACTTGTACAAGTAACTGGTGCAAGTAACTATACCAATGTAAACTCCCCTTAACGACTAAATTAGAAGGTAACGAGCGGTCCAAGACTGAGTGGTGACCGTAAGTAGCCGAAAATACCTAAAGAAGTATGGGGATTGTAAATTTTACGAATGTCCGGTAATCTAGGGTTAGGAATATTTTATGATATACATCGTGAAAAAAAAACATGCTACAATATTCTTCTACATATCTTGTATTCTTGTATATTATAATGCATGCTAAAAAATATCTGTAGTTAAAGACAGTTAGTAAGCAAACAAAGATATCGTTTAAAATACTCGCAATAATATTTCTTATTTATTTTATCGCAGCTGCTCATTGTGTGGAGATCGACCATAGAAAACTTCGACCCCAAGAGGTACTACTTATCCTGGGAAAGCTAAATATCCACAAATGGATACCAGTACGAGGAGAAAAGATAGTGGAACCGGAATCGATACACGTTCATCCGGATTACGAAAGCTTAACCAGTGACGCGGACATAGCTGTCTTAACTCTTGGAGAATCGTTGCAAATTACTAATTATATACGACCTGTTTGTCTATGGAGGGGAGATACGGATTTAGATTTTGTTGTAGGTGAGTCCTGATTTAAAAATTGTAATGTTTACTTTAATTACTAAAAATATTGATATTGTAAAGACATATTTATTTATATACTTTTAATATTTTATAACTATATTATTTTTAGGTCATTCTGGTACAATTGTTGGTTGGGGAAAAGATGAAAATGGTGTCCTTATGACAGAAGAACCAAAGCAAACAGATTTACCTATAGTTAGTCAAGAAAAGTGTTTAGCTAGTAATCTCCAGTTTCATTATATAACATCAAATAGAACATTTTGCGCAGGTAAGTAAGAAAAGTGGACTACAATAAAAACTTAACTTGTAAAAAGCAGAAAAATTTGCAATATCTTTTAATTTTTTCTTCTTCTTGAGTTCGCCTTTTTCGTTCTTAACAGCACGCTATTTCCCAATCACGTTCTCTGATGTCTCTATCTGTTATAGCATTTCCTATGTACGTTTTTCATCTTGTAGCAGGACTTGCCCTCCATATTTTTCCTGGCGGGTCCCAGTCCAATATTTTTTTCGACTACCTGTGCTCTGGCATTCTTTGTTATGCCCATATCCATCCATATATGCAGGGTTCTGTTTTTCAACTTTTTTTAATTGAGCATTCTACTTCCATTCAGTTCCATATTTCGTCTTTTAGTCTTTTCGTTTTATAAAGTGTACAAGTATAGCGATTCTAAAGTTGACATGATCACTTTCGGATCCCGACTAATTATTAGTCATTGGTTACGAAGATGCTATAATCTTCAGTAATATCATTGACAGAATGATACAGAAAGTCACCAAATTAAAGGATGAAGAACAATCTAACGCTAAAAATGTAACAATAGCGGAAAACAAAGATGGCATGTAAAAACTAATTAAAAGATGAAATTATTATTCATTATTTTATCATGATTTGTAATTCATGTTTATTTCAACTAACATATTCAGCAAAATATTTATTAGATTACTTTGTTCTTTGTTCTTGGCAGCAATACATTCTTGAATATATTGCTGCTGAACAATATTTGAAGCTAACAACCTTCACACTTTATCTTACGTTAAATCTACTTAGAAGCTCTAGAGATCACTTTTAAATAGAAAATAAATAGCTTTTAAGCTGATGCATTGTTTAATAGTTTATTTAATATTTTTTCTTTTTGATTGTTATTGGTTTTGTGGTATTTAGTACAATTATCTTAGATACTTTTTTGTTTTCAGGATTCAGGAATAACACAGGGCCTTGTAATGGTGACAGTGGTGGAGGATTTGTAATGAAATGGGATGGAAGATGGATGTTGAGGGGCATCGTTTCGTTGTCAATATCCGAATCAAACACAAAGAGCTGTGATCTTTCAAATTATGTTGTGTTTACAGACGCCAGCAAATTTTTAAACTGGCTAAGGTCCTTTCTTAAATAAAATTAATAAAAATAAACAATTTGGTGTTTATTATTTATGTTCTCCATATCCGATAAATCCTCTACGAATTTCTCAAAATGTTTTAAATGGATAACCCTGTATTTTATTTCTTTTTTAATTGCATTTATGATAGTCTTTTATTTTTATAAAGCATTTTTTATAACTAAAATATTAAGCTCATTACATTCCGACATATTTTTAGTTTTCTTCAAGTATTTTAAATTGAAACATCTTAGTCTTGTGTAATAATATAATGTTCCAAGAACACCCGGAACACTTATTAGACTTTATGCAAACAACACTACAATCGCAGCAAAACATATTAACCTGGATATGGCTGTAAGAAATCTACAGACGACACTGGATATGATATATCCAGAATAATGAATGAAAAATAGCAATAAATCCAGAAAATATGCAATCGGCTATTTTCAAAAAGAGAAGAGATAATCCAAAAGAACAGCTATTAGTGCAAGATAGACCCATCAAATAGCAAAACAAAAATTAGCATCTAGGAATCACAATGGACCAAGGTTTAACGTTCACACAACATGTTAATGCGACAGTCCAGAAAAGAGCAACGTCAGAGCCACAATAAGAGGACCCACAGAAAGAAGAAGCAAATTAGCTATGAAAACAAAATTAACATTATAGTTTATTCGTCTTCCGGGTTTGGACCGTGTCATTTGTGAGTGACCCAAAAGTGGGTTCATCTCGACGTTTCGCTACAATTGTATGTAGCTTCTTCAGGAGAACAAAGAAAAAGAAATCAAAAGACAGGAAGATGGGTAGTTAGCAACGGTAACTCAGTTACTCAACGCAACCAGAGGCGAATACTAACTACCAAGATGGGCATTTGGTCACAGTAACTCAACTACTTAACGCAGCCAGAGGTGAAAACCAAATGCCAGGACAGGGATTCACGTCCAACAGCTCAGAACACTAACGCGTCGAGAGGCGGGGAGTGAATCCGACGATTACTCCGCTACCGCTCTATTTATAGTCGCGGTGACCTGTCGTGTCGGGACGTATCGGCACACTCCGTGGCACGAACGTCAATAAGCGCGCGCTGGCCAATCATGTGGCTGCATCGTGGTAGCGGGACCGGACGGCGGCTCTAGACTGAGATTCCAGATGGGAGACAAGTAGTATTCTTCCTCTCGATTGATATTATGTGGATTTTTTCGGATCTCTAGAGATTCGCGGATTTTCCTGGAATAAAAGAAGGGGCTCTTAGAAATATTATGGGTTTTTTCGAACAATATGGAATGACCGGTTTCTTGGCAGTGTTCTGCAACTGCAGAATTGGAGAAAAGACCTGATCGAATGCATCTTTGATGCTCTTGAATCCGAGTTTTGACGGAACGACCAGTTTCGCCAATATACACATGTCCACATGAACAAGGAATAGAATAGACACCACAGGAAGATAGGGGCGGTAATGGGTCCTTAGGAGAGGGTAGATATTGTGAGATTTTCTTGGGTGGTCGAAAAGTAGCCCTGATACCTTATTTGCGAAGAATTTTGCCAATCCTATCAGTGACACTTCGAATATACGGAAGAAAAGCCACAGGAGTATTACCCGAAGATTCTGAATTTGTCGTCCTAGGGTGTAAAGGGGGATGTAGATGTCTGTGTGTAATATTTTGAATTGTGGACTTGGAGTAACCGTTGGCGACAAGGGTTTTTTGCAGATGGCCAAGTTCTTCTCTAAGGTTGTCAGGTTCAGAAATCGAAATGGCCCGATGGATGAGAGAGTTGATCACAGAATTCTTTTGGGCAGGATGGTGGTGTGATGAAGCATGTAGGTAACGATTCGTGTGAGTCTTTTTTCTATAAACAGAGTGACCCAATCGGCCATTGGGTTTGGAGGTGACTAACACATCGAGAAAGGGAAAGGACCGATTATTTTCTACTTCCATTGTGAATTTTATACTCGGATGTTGTGAGTTAAGATGATCTAGGAAGGGAGAAAGGGTATGTTGACCATGGGGCCAGATGATAAATGTATCATCAACGTAGCGGAACCAGACTTTTCGTTTTAAGGGGTAAGATTCTAGGGCTAAAGACTCAAAGGCTTCCATGAAAATGTCAGCAATGACAGGGGAAAGGGGAGAACCCATTGGTGTTCCAGATATTTGTTTGTAGAAATTGCCTCTAAAAGAAAAATATGTTAAAAGGAGGCATTTTTTCCGCAAGATCTGCCAAAACCAAAGACTTGTTATCATTGGTCAAGTTATCCCCTAATCCATTTGTTCGGATGTAGTGTAGTACACACGTTAACCTGTTATTTACAAGATCATAGCTCTTGTCAAAATCCATTACCTATAAGTAAATGTTAAAAGTGGGTTCCGTTTTTTTGTAAACAAAAAACAGCCTATTTTAAAATTGTGCACGAACTTTTTCAAATATTGTTCTAGTAATTGCGCGATATACTTGCGTAATTCTTTCTTACATTTTCCCAAGTGACGCAGGTTAAGTTTTATAAACAATTGACTCCATAGAAAAAAGTCAGGTGGCGGTAAGTCTGGTGACCTCGGTGGCCACTCAATAGGACCTCTCCTTCTAATCCATTTGTTCGGATAATTAGTATCCAACCAGTGCCTAACTAGAGCTGCATAGTGAGGAGGTGCTCCATCTTGTTGGAAGAGCAGCTAATCTTTGTCTAGAGCTGGGTTGCCTTAATCGTCCCTTTGGTTCTTTAATTTATGCACAATTAAAGGCTCGATGGTTTTTTCCAGCATATCGAGATAAATGTCGCCACTCTATTCCTGCCCAAACATTTAGTTTTCCAGGATATTAAGTGTGACCTTCTCTGAATCGATGCGGGTTCGCATCACTTTAATACCGACATTTTTCTTTATTTCAGGTTTAGGAGGGCTCAGTTCGATCAGTGTCTTTACTGTGGTCTCTCGGATACTGTGACACACACGATGTTAGAGTATAAGTGTTGGGCGGATGAAAGAGAGAAGTTTGTAAGAGAGTAACTGCAGAATGTTTGATTCCGTGAGAGAAATGGTGGAGAAAATAATGAGCAATGAGTAGTGGTGGACAAATTTATCGGGGAGCTGCTCTCTTTAAAAGAACGAAAGAAGAGGAAACTCGCAACAGAATTCTACAAAACAAGCGAGTAGCACCTTGGTGCTACTCGTACCAATAAGAGTGAATGAGAGATAGACAACGCGAGAGAGATGGCAGTCTCGTTAAGACAGGGGTTTAAAAGACTTTGGTAGTTCGTGTGGGTGTGGTTTTCTCGATGAGTATGTCGGAGAAAGAATGGGAATAGGGTGATAGCAGGACATCAGGAGAACTGTTTGTCATAACCGACCCTTCCATCCTGATGTTTGGTATGACTAAGGAGAGGATTTTAGTTGGACGCCGACCATGATACTATAAATTTCTAAAGATAAACGCACGCGCACGCGATCAGTCTATCTCTTTTGAACGTGTGACGTCACTTGGTGACAAATATCACCTGAAATGTTCTGTTTTGCATGGAGTTTTGTCAGGTTTAGTATTGTTTTATCGTTTATCTAGTACGTTGACAAATAAATGTGTGCACTTTTAGATAACATATATTTCAGAATATTAAATTAAAGATAAACTTTTATCACCAAGTGACGTCATGCGCATCGACGTACAAAATTCGATTGCGAAATGGTTTAATCTTGGAAATCATAGTATCATGGACGCCGACCGTCTCGGAGTTGTGGCTGAACGAAGTGTCAAAAGTATAAATCCCTTGGGCACCTCGCCCTGGCACCACTTCGTTAGAGTATTAGGAACCCAAAACTACCTTTGTGAGTCACAGGTAGTGTAGTATGCAGATTTTTCTTTTTCTCTTTAAAGATGTAAAAAAAGTTTTGTTTATTTACATTACCATTAGGCATCAAAGTACATTCATCAGTAAAACAAATATTTTATAACATTCTCGGTTTAGCGAATTTTTTCAGTCATGAGTTCATAAAACTCAATTCGTCGGTCTAGATCATCATCGCCTAGGTCTTGAAGAATTTGTGTTTTGTACGGGTGAAATGTAATTTCAACACCTTTCTAACCGACTTATGTAAAAGTCCCATCATTGCAGATATTTGATGTGTTAATGCAGTAGGCTCTATTGCAAAATTTCCAATGACCGTGTAACAACAAATGTGAGTACTGAGAGGTTTAGGACGCCAATGTAATAAAAGTGTATACTTATGTGTAATGTAACACAAGTATTTGGGGTAATGTAAAAGATAACATATAATTTAAAGCTGGCTAGCAGAAGTTGCCGGAGAGTGATTACTTGACACTCAAAGGAGGATTCGGCCAATTTGCATGCCCTACAGAGACCGTAGAATAGGAAAATGAATGACAAGGTAATAAAAAATCTATAGGTATATAATTAATGTAAATAAAAGTGATTACAGAAGTTGCTTCTAAATGTGAGTGGGCGCCAGGAAAGTATTTACATAAACTTTCCAGGTATCTTGTAAAGCTGTTTGCTGAAATATAAAGGGAAACAGGTATTAATTGAAATATTTAGTTTTTACCAAAAATTTAATCCCTATCCAAATATATACAGTCTAAATTTATCCTAAAATACCCACCACTAATTTTGTACAGTTAATATAGTTACTTATATACAAAAATAATATAAATACCCTGGTTACACACAACTGATCCTTGATAATCTGAATTTATAAATTATAATATATAAGAATAAATTTAATGATAATGATAATTGATCTAAATTTATAAATAATAAGATATAGGAAAAATTTTAATGATTCGACCTAAAAAGGTAATTTAATTGCCTCAGAGATGTAACTCTGTACTTTGGCTTTCAATTAATGTCTTAACAAGTAATAAGAACAATATCCTGAAGGAATAAATGTCCAAAGGTTTAAATATGTAATAATAATAAAATCTTAGTAAATAACTCTCTGATTAGATATGTACACATAAAACCGTACAACTGAGTTAAAAGGGAGGATTTAAAACCTCGACCTGGACGTGACAATTTTAA